TTCAGTTGCTCCAAGGAGAACTGCGCACAAGGCAGCTGCCCCCCCCTCCCCTCTGCACACAGTGGGGTTCAGCTACATCCCCTTTCTGGTGAAGAACTCCTCTGATTTGCAGCCCTTTTAAAAATTTTCATGTGCACCTTGCTGTACTGGAATGATTCAGGGAATTCAGACTCCAGAAGAGAGAGGGCAACAGGGCAAGGCTCATTATTAATGATTTAATCAGCCATTTGTGGGGGTTTCTGGGTTTGTGCCAACTCTACCCTCGGAGTTTTGGGAGGCACACTGTGCGAGGGGAAGCAGGACTTCTGTGTGCTCTCTCAAGCTGTTCCATGACACCTGATATATAGCGTGACACTACTTGTTCTAGCCCGTAACCTTGAGCTTGTAAACTACACAAGGAAAAATTTACCAACTACTGAGTTCATCTTAAAGCACTCTTGGGAATTTTAAGTGGGGGAAAAAAAGGAGGCAAGAAATCGTGGGCATCTAGAAGAGCTGGTCTTGACCAGGAATCCTTCAAAGGCCCGGTGCAGTGCACCTCACAGTCCACTGTTCTCGTTCAATTAAAGTTTTAATTGACATGGCCAGCATACAGTAAGGACCTACGTTTGTCTTGCTCTGAAGGAGCTAATCAATAGGAGAGATGTAGACACACTTCACCACTTATTAGCCACATACCTTGATGGAGTTTACCACAATAGTACGTATACTCCACTCTTAGCTAGCGTAACAGCTTGATTCATAACAGAAGCCAGAAAACTGTTTTGCAACTCCTCTATTAGAAAAGAAAATTATCATCCACGTAACAGCAAAATTTGCCCTTGGTAAAGGAGTCCTCATGAGTGTACACGGAAAAAAAAAAAAAAGAGAGCTGGAACAGATGTGCCCCAGGTACTTGGTGCACTTCTGATGAGCAACCTAAAAAGGCCCTGGGACCCACATTCAGAACATCAGGCTGACCGTGAGCCAACAACACGCTCTCATCACAGACACAGCAAATTGCATCTCGGCCCCATTAGGAGCATGGCCAGGCGTCCCAGGAGCGTAGCTCCCTCTCCTCGGTGCTGGTGAAGCTGTACCGGGAACACCGAATCTGGCTTTAGGGCCCCCACTTGTTGGGAGCACCAAGGCCAAGCAGGAGAGCGTACAGCTTGGGAGGCTCAGGCTAGGCAAGACGTGTTCACGGGGCGAGTAGCGTCGCGCTACGACAGGCTACCAGAGAGGTGGCTGGACTTCCAGCGCCGTTAGAGACACAGGAGGCGATGCAGTGCTGACAGTGGTCCCAACTCCGAGCTAGTTTAAAACGAAGACACCGTGTGAATACAAATAAGGTTTAAGCCTCCATTTCAGTATTTCCTGAGGAAAGAAAAAGGGAGTCTAGACTCATCCATGACACTCGTTTTAGCACACAGAACTTGACAGCTGTACTGTGGAATACACAGAAGTAGCACTGACAGATGCAGTAGCTACTCAGAGATGCTCTGCCCCACGATTTATCTTTAGTTTCAAGAATGCTCTGGTCAGGTGCATTGCACAGACTTCCAGATTACTCAGCCAATACTGAAGTGGATGCCTAATTTGCCCAATGTAGAGTTACACCCTCCTGGGCTCATTCTTTTCAACGGCAGCCTGCCCTCCGTATTAGCATACAAATTCCTTGAAACAAAGTGTTGATGTTATAGAGCAAATGCGAAATTAGCCCTGTATGTGCTGATGGCTCCCAGGAGATACCTTGTCCCTTACCTCAGTCTAAGTACTCTAAAGTCAGTTCCTGAAACTTTCCCTTCAAGTTATTTTCCCCAGGTGAGGCTCCAGCAATCAGTAACTTGTGTGATTATTATTGCTGTTAGTCTCTTGTTTTGTTTAATTAGTAATTATTTTAAACCACATGGCTGAAGTGCAGCTGGATAGATGTCATTCAGCAATAAAGGCTTGTTCTTTGAAAAGCTGGAAATAGGGGCATTTTCAGGACTATAGCTCATACAGTGAAGAACGCCACTTTGTTTCTATGGGTCATTGAGAAATAAGGTTACTCCTAACATCCTATTTAAAGGAAATTACTTCCCAGCATCCCAGCAGTGGATTTTCCTGGAGACTGGCAGAAAGCAGACAGCGATTCCCATTGTTCCCTCACTCCAGTGACGGCAGGATTTCCCAAGCCGTTCTGCAGTACCGGCAGTGGCAGTAGTTACACACCTCCCATCTGTGCACACGTGCACTCATGCACTGCGGGACTTCGGTCGAGCCAAGCTCCTGCCAGGTACCGCAACGCAGCTGAAGCCCTGGGCAGAGCACGTCTGTGCCCAGGCACCCCCCGAGCCCTAATGCAGTGTCCAGTCCAGACCTGAGCAGGATCAGAGGTCCCCAACTGTCCAGTCATCGTCAAACACACATTCATGTTCCACGCCTTTAAAGAGGCTCATGATCACTCTCTGACTACTCCGGAGTGTTTCCTTACTCTACCTTTGATGACTCCTCAGAAACTGCCCAGGAGTTTTTAAAATTAAAAAAAAAAAGCCACCACATCCAAAAAGACATCAGGCTGTCTGACAAAAATACTTTCTCACTGGATACTTGAAAGTGTTTGTGAAAAAGCCCAACAGCAGGTCTAAGTTTTCCTCAGTTAAATCTCAACGTTGCTGAGCACAGCTTACAGTTCTGCTCTCTTCAGATTTCCCTGAAGCCGTACTACACCTTCACACCCGCTTGCTCCTTCTCCAGTTTCTGTAACATCAGCACATCCATACACAAGTGGTGAGTTTATAGTGCCCCCAGACGTTACTAATAAAATTGGCATCAGGTAGAGGCCCAGGTGCCTTCTCCCCTCCATTCTGGTGGTGGCTTATTTAAAAATGTTCTCTTATTGGAGGCCACAGTAATAAGTTACCATGTTCTGCTAAAGACTTGTAGTTAGCATGGAATTTTCTGTCCAAATCCACATGAAGTATCCGACTGAAGTGAAAGCATACCAATTACCAAGAAAGCAGAGTAGAATCGAAACCACCGAATTTTATTTATATACAGAACTTGAATCACTAGGTTTTACTGAATGTTTAACAAGCTCAGGCAGGTTCCCATCCCAAAGTTCTGATGGGATCACAGGAACCACTTCAGACACTCTCACCGCCCTATCAGCGAAAGGCAGGGATCAAGCCCCTCATCTCACCAGATCTCCCATCGTTGTACTGTTACAGACTCGGCTGCGGAGCTTCCTTAGCCAACACCATAAGGATCCAGAATGGGTTACACACCTTTAGGAAGGCAGGAAAAGGTACTGAGGAATAAGAGGAATGCTGAAAACCGTGTCAGAAGTCTTCCTACTTGTTGTTTTGAGAAAGAAAACAAGAATGACAAGCAACAACCCTGCTTTTTGAGTGAAAAATTTTAAAAGCTTAGACCTGTTTGTTTAAAGGAGTGTCAGGGCCACCTGCTGCATCACGAAGAAGCTGGAAAAGACATCAGTCACATTCTCACTTCTCTCCCTGTCTGCAGATTCATAACTAGAGCATTGATATCTGTAAGGGTACAGCCTTGTCTGGAGGTCCAGAAGGGATCCAAAGCAAAATCTACAGCATGCAGGAGAAACAGGTACCAAAATAAAGTATCTAGAGGGCAGGTTTTACAAGCTTAGATGACAAGTGCTTATTAAGCTTGGATTATTTTGCAACTCCTGAGTCCTCTCTCAGATCACTCACCCCAAAAAAGATTAAAGTCATTCAAGTTTGCTATAACTTGTAAGAGATTCAGTACGGCAAGAGTCTAACGGCAAAGCACAGCTGTTTATCACAGCACACCAGAAACGGTTCTTCAAACACCCATCAGGGACTACAGAGATAGAGAGCTTTATCAGGAACATACCTTTCAGACAAAAGTTACTAAATCGTGGCTTAAAGCAAGTAACGTGTCTGAAAGCACACTGCAGAGAAGGAGACTGCAAATACGCACCCATTAATGGTACTGAGCTGCACACGTACCTCGTGTAACTTCACAATCACCCTTTACCACCATGAGACACTTCCTTTGGTAGCCAAAAGAAACAGCAGTACGTCACCTTCAGTATGACAACAAAGACAATTTGTTTCCATACAGGAACCGTCCCTTTGCCATCATTCCAGTTCCAATCAAAGAATTAAGAGAGGCTACCACTAGTTAGTGTGGTAGATTGCTTATGTCATTTTATCTCCCATTCTAATGTTCCCAGAATGGAAAAGAAAGGTCTAAATATCAGACATTTGCATAAACAAGCAACTACTCATTCTCTTTTTATGCTGATGTTCATGATCTCTGGCCATTTGAGTTGAACATTTGACTGTATAAAATGAGATGCCCCCTACTGACCTCAGTGTTTTTCTCTTCAAGGAGCTAATGATAAAAATGGGATTGTTCCCAGAGAACTGAAAGCCTGATTTGTGTATGCAACAAGCCATTCCATATTAAATACATCAAGCATTTTACTCACCTCAACATTACAAAAGCAATTTGTTTCCAGAGAGTGCAGAATAATGAGTTCAGGCTTCACCACGACAAGCTTTTCGCCATCCTGTGCCTGTTACCCATACCGAGTTTCCATAGAGAACAGCCTGAACTCCGTGCACATACCAGACTATTCATGCCATGGTCAGAATCAAGACCGGGGTTTCAACGCTGCCAGTTCCCTCTCTGACAAGCTCAACATTGCCACCTACCGACTCTGTAAAAGCTGAACCGTAAACGGTTTTTGTATTCCCCACTCCCAGACGCAACAGCTAAGATGTGCAACAGAGGCTGGAAGGAAAGAGCATTACACCGCAGACAAAGAAACCAGAAAGAGATGCCCGATAATCTCAACTATACGGCACCGTGTGTTCTACATCTGTCCAGGGCAGAGTCTGAACACTGTGGTCCAAGTAACTCGCAGAAAGTAACATCTGTTGCTGCTTTCCATACCTATGGCTTGACAAGTAAGAAAAGCCTCTGATCATTCTCACATCATCCAGCTCCAGCAGCACCAAAGATAAAATTAAAACATGATTTTAATTATTCTTTTATCTAATTACATTGGCAGACAAGAAATACCTATAGAGTCACAGTGTATTAATAAGGGTTCTACTTCGCAGCTGCTGCACGTATTCTTTTGCTTGGTCAAAACCAGTCCTTGGTGGCTCTGGAGGAGGAGGAGGACCTTCCACCAACTTCACAAAGTAATGGCACCTGTTGATATTCATGATGCCAAACATGCCTTTGCCATGGTAACGAATCCGCTTCATGTAGCGGCCTCGGCCAGTCAATGACTCAGCTGAAGGAAGACAGGGAGGGAGGAAGAGAAGACTATTCAGTCACGAAGAAACGACCACACATCTGCAACCGAAACACTGTCTTGCCAGTGTGTTTTTCTGTGACTACATAGGAAAAGTCAATTCTACCTGAGATTCTCTCTCCTCCAGCTCTCTTCTATCACATTTAACTGATTACTGCTACAGAGGAACCCGTGAGCTGAATTAACAGGCCTCAGGAGCACCAAAAAGGTGAATTTAGAAAGCGTGCAAGCAAAGATAAATACGTAGTAAAGGACAAATCCAAAGGAAGCCACACTGAGCACTTACTAGATTATACAGCTCTTCTGAAGGTGGTATTAATTCCAATGCTTTTCAATAGTCTGTCTCATGAATTCCTGCAGAAGTCTCACAGACTCCATTTTGCCCCCTCTCTCCCTTTACTGCACGCACCGCAGGCATTTTCATTTTCTACACATCCAGCCCTGCGCTAGTGGATGAAGCTTCTCGGGGCAGAGGCCTGGAAGGCTCCAAAGAATCCTAATCAAATCCGCCCTACAATCCAGGCTACTTGAAGTTTACGAGGACAGTTTGGTAACACCTACATCGTATTTGACAAAATGGGATTTTTATTTTTTCCTTTGGACGTAAGAACACCTGCAAGCAAGCACTTGGCGAACATTTTTCTAGGCGAGAAAGTGCCATAGTTATTACAAGTTATTACAAGACACCAACTGTAACAAGCTGATGGTTGAAGGCTCAACAACCACACCAGCTTCAGGTGTGCTGCAAGTCGGAAGCACGTGTGCCTCTCACATTTCCGTAAAACATACTAGAAACTGTCTTCTATTAATTTCCGCTGATCTGAAGCAACAGAACTTTATTAAGGATGAAACTTTTTTCACAGGCTAGGATGACATTTTTCTGCACTAAAATAAGGAAAAAAAAAAAAAACGTACCTATATGTAAATTTGATTTGAATTCGACGTTGTGATTTCTTACTGCCATTTCCTGCGCTTCTAACAGAACCTGTAACAAAAGGAAAAGAAATGGAAATACTGAGTAGGAATTTAAGCAATGCTATTTCTTATCTCAAGGTAACATGGAAGAAATTGCAAGTTTAAGGCAGTTACAGACAGAGTATTCTAGAGAGATCAAAACTGTTAGAGGACAAACATCTTTTACGTAAGTTTTTCCAGTCTGTACGCAAAGAACAAACTTCAGGACAACTTTATTGCATTTTTGGGGCAGAAAGGGAATGGAAAAGATGGTTCCCATCAGTATATATCAGCCAGCCATCCACGGACCTTTGTCTAATTAGACATCAGACTAGAAAAAAATTCCAAGGCCATTTGATATTTTCAGCTAATACAGGATACTTCTTTGTCATTATTACACCAGAAATCAATGCTTCAGCCTAGGGAATGAGCAGTTTGAGTCTCCTAACAACTACAGTGTATGAAAAGCTTTCATGCCTTTACAGAACTCAGTCCTTTCCCTGATGACATCCTTCACCACTTACAACTTCAAGAACCAAAGCACAGAGATGCAGCAGCCATTAGGGTCAAGGATTCTGCATTCTTTGACATGTGGGTACTGTTGCTAGCAATGTTTGCTGTTAAGTTCATGGTATTTATTATCATGACAAGTTAAAATAGCCAGCACAAGTGACCTCTGCATATTCATAAGTCACAACATTACATGACTGGTACAAAAATACGCTGTTTGAATGTGCTCCCGACTGACTTAATAGAAATATCTCTAAACTTCTGTAGACAGGTATCGATTTTAAAGTTTTCTTGAAACTAGGAGCATTAAAGAACACTATTACATACCTCTTTGATCACTTTTGCTCCCTTTTTATCATTAAATTCCAACTGAGCAAGAGCCTGATCAATGGACATCCCTTTTATCTGCAATCAAAGTGTTAAAGTTAACTTCTACAATTACCAATTTCCCTTCTCTTATTCAGAAGACAGTATTTAAATTATTTTGCCATTATAAAGAGAAAATCAAAAGACTTCAGTTTCCTTAATTACTGTTTCTTCTATATAGTATCTTACGTACAGAACTTCTAAGTTAAATATTGAATAAACCTTGATGTAACATTCAATTTTTTTTTCTTAAGGAGAAAACCAGTCTGGTACTACCCTCCAAGGTTCCCCTCACCATCTAATATTAGGCAGAAACCAACAGGAAAATTCTTCCAGCGTGCATAATCTGCATATGATCCTGGGTCCACATCTGAGCGCGTACTAGGATAGAGCAGCTAACCCAAACCACAAACCACTCTTCGCCGTCAGAGCCGCGGGCTCTTCCCCAGGACACTGCTATGAAGATGCTGATGAGGCTGTCATTGAACTAGGCTCTTGAGGCAAAGGCAGCAATCAAATTTTATGTTCTAACAAATACAGTGCAAAGTACTTTTTGCTTACCAGTTTTGCCAGATACCACATCTTATCTCTGCTATATTTTATTTCCCTCCGACAATGATATATTTCCTAGGTGAAAAAAAAAGTCAGAGGGTCAGTCATTTTGCTGTGAAAACACAAACGGAGCATACACATCGGCTCCACAATCTCTTTTCTTACTAGGAACAAAATAACTATGACTGCCCCTACTATACCATGAACATACCAAATCAGGCATACTTTGACATTTGAAACTGAAAGCATTAATAAAAGTAGGTAGCATACAGAAAATTTTTATGCAAGAGAATTAATTTATAAACAGAAGTCCCTGAAAAGGATAATCAGAAGAGTTTTCATCATCTTTTCCTTTCCTCTTCCTACCTTTTGAAATAGTCTGACATGACCATGCAGTCTTAAAATTATTATGCTGCTGTCAAGTCAACTTACTGGGATAGCAGCTAAACAACATTACCAGAATGAACTTCTTAATTAGCTCTTCAGAAGGGAAGAGGGTTTCAAGTTTGATTGGCATGATGAGCTGCCTCCAAAGACCCATTTAACATTACTATAGTACCAACAGGTACCAAAACTAGCTAGGAAAGTTTAACATCTATACAAATTTGAGAGAGATGGTGTTCTTTATGAACAGGTAAAAAACTGATTTAATAAGCAAGTCAGTTGATAACTGCATTTTTGCATACATGGCTTTAGTCAGCACTGTACACAGCATGTATTTCTACATCCCAGGCCACACTGTCCACAGAATCGACAAATGCTCATGGCCCACAACAGCGCACGTCCAAAAAATCCCTGTTCTTTTGAGATGCAAATACTTCACTGAGCAGTACATCTAAGAGGCCACAACACGCTATATCCCATCAAATTAATTAACCTAAAATTCTCCCAGGTTGTGCTGCAGAGAAAGCAGCACTGATGAGTCCCTCCAGTTATCAAATACTCCACACTTAGTTTCCATGTATAACTTGGAGACTTGCTTCTGTCCACACGCAACTGTACTTCCCAGTTACAAAGTGGTCAGTAAGAGGGGACAGGCATAAACCTGCTGTTATCAACAACTAACCTGTTATAACTACATTTAAAAAATTGACCATGTTACTCATGCTGACTTTTCCAAAAGCTGTCTTCAGTGGCCAGCAGGCCCTACGCTGACGTGCTGGGTTTGTGTGGCAAGGTTTTGGTTGTGGGAGTGCTACGGGGGTGGCTTCTGTGAGAAGCTGCTAGAAACCTCCCTATGTGTGACAGAGCCAATGCCAGCCAGCTCCGAGAGGGACCCGCCGCTGGCCAAGGCTGAGCCCATGAGCGATGGTGGTAGCGCCTCTGGGATCACATGTTTCAGAAAGGGGAAAAAAACCTGCACAGCAGCAGCCAGAGAGAGGGGTGAGAATAAGTGAGAGAAACAACTCTGCAGACCCCCAGGTCAGTGGAGGAGGGCAGGAGGTGCTCCAGGCACGGAGCAGACTCCCCAGCAGCCCATGGTGCACCCCACGGTGAGGCCAGCTGTGCCTTGCAGCCATGGAGGGTCACGGTAGGGCAGAGACCCCCCTGCAGCCCAGGGAGGACCCACACAGGAGCAGGGGGATGCCCAAAGGAGGTTGTGACCCACGAGCCTTCTGTTATATATTCTCTCCCCTGCCCAGCTGAGAAGGGCAGTGACAGAGAGGCTTTGGTGGGCACCTGGCCCCCAGCCAGGGTCAACCCACCACAACCCAGCATACAGGTAACAAAAGGATTTTAGATTCTTTGCTTTAGTAAAACACAAGTTATTGTGCAACAGACCGAAGAAACAACCCCACTGTACGTATAATCTATGGTTTCCTAAGGAAAAAACACACCTCCTGCAATCACAGGCCACATCTGACTTGGATGTCCCTCCCCACATAACTTCAGTCCATATTAAAGATTTTAAGCAACGACTGTGACAAAAAACAACCTCTGAATAGTTTCATTAAGGGGCAGCCACAGCATTATCAGACCTCAGAGACTCTATAATGCGGAGAAATTACAAAATGAAAAGAACGTGCACTCTATCGCACCTATATCAAGCGGGCACCACTAGTTCCACACTCAAGGAAAGTTACATTCATACCTTTGTGCACAGAGGCAACAATACAATCACGTTCTTCTCTAGTCATTTACTGTCAATACAAACAGAACAAGCGTGCAATGAGAAATCCTTGGTAACTTCTACCCCTTGTAGTTCAGACTTCTAACAAACAGAGGATGGTACCTTCGCAGATTGCATCACGTATTCAGTAGGTGATCAGCTGCAAGCACCTCGGAGCGCCAATTCAGTTAACATCTTCAAAGTGATGTTAACTTTTACAGTATAAGTATGCCCAACTGACTAAGACCTTAAATAAGATGAATCAGCTATAAATCTAGTGCCTTGTGGAGTCACCCAGAGACAGTGACAATCTGCTCAGAAATTGCTGAACAGGTAAGGAAATTCAGGGGTGTATCCTTACCGCTGGTCTGCGAGGTTCTCCCGGCAGCTGCGGAGGGTAAACAACCCTGTTCTTCTTCTCCCACTTCCCAGATTTTTGCAGAGATGTTCTTGTGTGAACACATGCCAGAGGAAAAAGGCTACTGGATGCCAGCCACCTGCAAGACAAGACCACAGCCTTTGCTGCTGAACACAAGACGTACAGAACACATCGGAACACTGTGTTCTTTGTCCCTGCCTGGTTTATCCGGAAAATTATGAACTTACCAGTCGTGATAGGGAGAACTGACACATTTGACTACTCACAAAATAAAACTGTTCAAGTCCTTTATAGTTTACACTGAAAATGCTTTTAAATTCAACAGAAGCCTCAGGCTTCCTCAAGCAAACCAGGAACTGTAGGTGACATTTGTATACCATGAGGTTCCACGTGGTAAAACCATCTGGGGACACTTAAAGACACAATCACCTCTTTGGTCTTATACGAAGTTCTGTTCTGATATTGTGAGTTTTAGTAAGTCTTCAACAACTTCATAGGGGTAGCCAAACTGTGCATAGCATTTTAAAAAATGACTGGCAAACAGAACAAATCTCTGCAATTTACCTCCCCAGGCTTTAGCAGAGACCAAAGCTCTGCACTTTGAGAACACACATCCACCTTTCTTCTGAAGTCAGGGTTACAGTCAGCAGGGACCAGTGCTCCCCCAACACAACTTTAGCCATTCCTCCAGACTGAGGGGAAAAAACATCATCTACAGGACAGCAATGACTGGGGAGAGTGCAAAGGGGAGCAACAGGTACTACGTTACTGTAACCTGCACCGTAACGCCGGATCAAACGTAGATGTCCGATAGAACGAGTCGGGAGGGAAGGAGAGACACCACCATGCCACAGTCTCCAAGTGCTAAGACACTACAGAGGTACGGAGCGACCTTCCCACAGCTCCAGGGCAGTGCGAGAAGCCAACAAGAAGGCCGGGCCAGGCGACCCGAGCAGCCTCCTGCCGCAG